TTCGGTCTTCTGTATAATCTGCCGCAAGGTGTGTATGTGGTCTATGGTACTGAAGCCTTTTCGGAATCCGGCTTGTTCGGGAGGCTGGAAGTCCTCGAGTCTGGAAGCGAGACGATTCAAGATGACTCTTGAGAACAGCACATAGACGCGGCTCAGAAGGGATATCAGTCTATAGTTCTTCAAGAGAGAGTTATCGCCTTTCTTGAAGAACAATCAAAAACACCACCACACTTCTGCTCCACGCCTCTGGTGTAGCACCACCCTGAAGGACGAAATTAAAAGGCCTCTGAAGGACTACAAGTACCGGTTCTCCACCCGCTTTCAGAAGCTCTGCTGTAATTCCGTCCTCTCCCGGTGCTTTGCCATTCTTAAGATGGTTAAGAGCCATTCTAATCTCGCTCAGACTAACGTCCGGGATATTTTCGGAATAGTGTCGGATAAGCTTTGCTCTTGGGTCGTTACTCACATATGTGTGTGGCTCCAACGACGATGTGTACAGCTGTCCATAGAACCTCTCAATCTCACTCAAAACCTCTGGTCTACTGGAGATGATAGCCCCGCTGTCAGTCTTCAACTTAGTCTGTTGGCTTTGTCCGATAGGCAGATCTCTGGCGAAGACTTTTGAGCCTAGGTTCCGCTCTATAGCACCCTCAATACGAGCTGTATTGAAGTTGCATAAGTCTCGCCGCATGTATTTGGAGATCTGCCTATTAAGCCGCCTGTAGTCTGACATGTCAGTTGAAGACTGCAGCCGCATCTCACGTCTTTTTCCCAAGAGGCTAAGAGTGTGATCGGAGAGTTTTTGCGTTCTATTTGTGCGGCGGGCCTTATTGAATTTAAGGCCCACGGCATGGACAGTTTCCACGAGCTTAGCGTTAATATCGTCCACAGTGCTGCAATTTTCTAGGCATTGGAAGCGATTATGTAGCTCGAGCTGAAAGCTTTCGGAGTTCTGGATATGGGCACGAGATGGTCGGAGTGTGGACTTCATTAGACGAGATCTTTCCAGCCTGATGTTAATATTCAATGTGCCCCTCACCAACTGCCGGTCTTCACCCTTGTGATCACAGAGACATCATTGAATATTTGCCGTTTGTTTGTCATAATGAAGTCTATCTCGTTTTTTACGGAACCATCGGGGCTAATCCAGGTTCACTTTCTGTGGGGCTGCTTTTTGAAGAAGGAGTTCATCATAAAGAGTCCCTCCTTCTCCATAAAGTCAGCCCGCTGCTGCCCCCTTGGGTTCCGTTGCCCTATTCCAAAACTACCTACTCTCAGCTCATCGTCTTTCCTTTTGCCTAGTTTTGCGTTGAAGTCTCCCATTAACATCATGTACTGGGTTTTGGAGGAATGTATGGCTCGTGATATATCCTCATACATTGCCTCCACCTCATCATCGGGATGTGTCGACGTTGGTGCGTAAACCTGTATGACCTTGAGCGAATACCGATTGGATATTCTGAGTATAAGGTACGCAACCCTCGACGACACACACTCAATTTTAACAACGTTGTTAATGAGAGACTTGTGGACGATAAATCCGACACCTCCTTGGGACAGTTGGTCGCCCTCCCGGTGGTAAAACAGGTTGCCGGATTCTAGGATTATCGTGTCCTCCCCCTGTCTTCGGACTTCAGATAATCCTGTTATATCCCAGCGCAGCCTGTTCACCTCTTCTTCCAGCTCTGTGATCTTCTCGTCAGTCCTCAATGTTCTTGCGTTGTATGTTGCCAGGTCCAGTCGCCGTCGTTGGTAGCCGAATCCTAGCCGGGGATTCTTAGCACCCCCTGCCCTGCCGTTACCATGACCGCTACCGTAGCCAGGAATAGGCCACTATTGGAACATGAAAGCTTCAAATTTAGCGGCAATTTTAAATTTGATTTTAAATCTTTTTTTTACAATATATGTTTTTGTGTTAAAATATCGAAGTTGTTCAAGATATTAATTGAACGATGAAAAAAACGACAGAAAAATGAGTTTTGTCTATACCGAGTAGTAAGTCAAGAAACTATTTTTTGAGGTATTCCAAACTGTAATTTTATATATATTTACAAATGTCCCCGAAATTCGGTGGTGCTAATGGTACTGTATCATTCTCGTCCAAGGAGATGCGGATAATATAGCCTCATCGACAAATGTTACAAGTTTACTCTTACTATTAGTACTTTTTATATAGTTTGAATATGCAAGGAGATTAAAAACAATCTATAAATTCCGTAAAAGGCTTGAAGAGGGCCTTAAATTGGTACGGCCCCCCTCAGGACCTTGACAAACGGTGGTTAGCGATACCCTATCGCTAGCGGACCGTACTCCTTACGAGTACGCATTGTGACCGGAATATTTTCCGGTATTATCGCAAGCGTGGTCTGAATACCGACGATGGTGCAATTCAATAGAGATTGATAGTAAATCCATTTTTTCTTACTTTGTTTTTAGCATTCAGAAATATATAGGTATGTATCATGCTCTAAACAACGACCATGATATGTAAATATGGTTCGTAGTGACTTGTTTTCAAATTTCTAAGAAAATTGTTTGTTACACTGGGACGGAATCTTCGTTTCAACAAGCCTGTCTTAAATAGAATAGCCTTGTTATTAACAAGATGGACCATCATTAAAATGCGAAAGTTGTGAATGGAATTAATACTGAAATATAAATTTTACATTTAAATTATGTAAGCCATGTTATTTATTACATTAATAGTGACATTAATGTAATGAATATGCATGGTTTATCATATTTCTTCCAAGATTGTGTTTTAAAGTAATATCCTGAAATCTAGAGAGATCTTACCTTGATGTATATATTGTTGCGATTTATTAAGGTACAAGTGGTAGAGAGCCACGGCACTGTAGCTATATAGTTTAATTTAATAGCTAGACTACTTTATATTATTTAATCTGTAGTCCGCTCTTAGCTCCCAACTTGCGTCTGTTTCACCCCAGCGCACATATTTTCTCTTCTCGCCTCCCACGTGTGAGATTGGTTAGGGCGTGCGAAATTCTCACGGTGTAGTCGGCAAATTTGCTCATTGCCCGTATTTTAATAGAATCATAAATTGACTTTGCAATTTTTTTTATGAAATTAAAGCGTTGGTATAAATTTGATGTAATAGCGTTTCATGGGCGCTTTTTCTTCTTCTTGGTATGTGTTACGCGGGAAGAATATAATTATTACATAGGTATTTTTTCATTGACATAGTACAATAGATAATATCTATTAATAATCATTATGGTCCATCTCATTAAAATACGAGTATGTCGAATTGTTTTGTGCGTTGCATGTCGGCACAGCAAGTCGCAACGTACACTTTAAAATGTTAAAACCTGTTGGTTTAGTATCTCAAATAATGTTTATATATGAATCAGGTAATATGAAAATTTTAGAAATGATTTCACCTACATTTTCCAATAACAGAGATTTCATGTTTGTAAATATGGTTCGAATGAATTATATGGATGGGAATTATAACTATCTTTAAATTTTTTATCGAATACGAGTATTACACCGCTAGAAAACAAACCCAGACCACGTTTACTGTACTGTACACTTAAGGAATGCAACATCTTGCTGGGGTTCGTCTTTCCGTCTGATTAAAATGTGGGCCCATCTTCAAGGCAAGAGTGAATAGGCTTTTGATGAGCTAGCGCGCTTACCATCAACGGTCACTTACCATCAAGGGGGATGGCAGTCAAGCGCTGGCCAGTTATGAATAAAAAAAAAAAGAAAATATTACTATCAGGTGTCCTTATGCCACTCAACCTTGGAATCAGCATCAATTCATCATACTAACTAAGAAGAGAATCAATGGCAAGCGGGAATGCAAATTAAGCCCTCCTTAGATAGGGAACTTCGCACATAAAAATAGAAATTTGTTACGCTTTATATGCTAATACGCCTCTCCGTCGCGACTTTAATTCAAAGAGAGCAGTATAACTGAAATTATCAGAATAATTGTTGTTGCCTGTTCAAAACTTCGCGAGTCACGTTTGCCGACGAACAATGCCAATCTGCCGGTATCATTTGTGTAATGTTACTTTTGCGAAACACCGCCTCTCTACGGGAGCGGGTAACGCATTCCAGAAATGCGATACAGTGTCAGGCGCATTTGTAATTTGGCCGTGTCATGTCTGTGAAGAAAATTATATCAGATAAAGAAGTATCAGTTGAGATGTTATCAATCGCAGATAGATTAAAAAAATTGTTTGGTTATGTTCTTGTGTAATAAAAACATCGATAAAAGAAACCAGAGACTATAAATCAACATAAAATAAGGACATCGGTTATAGCTGTATTAAAAAAATAAAGAAATAGTCTTCAACGTTCAGACTTCTGTTTGAACGGAGCAAAATAACCAGTTGTCGGATTCTTGGAAAGATGTTACGTCTATATAATTATGATAAGGAAAATATTTTCTGTCTAGGGGAGAGGAAATAATTTTGTAACACATTCTAACGGGGATTCCCTTGTTGTTCCGTGAGAGGGTGCTTTGGAGGAGCTTGACGTGCGAAATATGGGTAGTGGGAGCACGTTTCGCAACTTTGCCACTCGCGCACAGCAGTCCGCTTACATGTACACAGCGTTATGAAAATATAGACCTAATTTTTTATTTTATAACATACAAAACATATTCAAATGTTGTCACCAAAAACTTGAATAATTACTGCAGTAACTCTAAGTGACGTATTGTTAGAAATAGGTTTATTCAATTAACATCAAAGGAATAGATGTTTGAAAAGCAATGATATGAAATTCCACAAAAATTTTGACCGTGTAAAGCAAGAAGCAGCAACATAAGATCCATTAATCTTATATAGCTGCTTTAGCAACGTTTATGCTATCATTTTTTGCAAGCATAATTCTTCTAAACCATTAATGTTCCGTAGAAAAATAACGCGAAGTTTCATGTATGGCAAAATAATGAAATGCCGCTACAAATGTTAAGGCGACACTCGAAGTGTGATTCTTAATGTCCGCTCTAAATTATCTGTACCCTACAGCGAGGACAAATGAGACAACACCCACACTTGATGGCGCGCTCCCACCGTTCCGGCGAACGTATATCCGAGCAAAAATCCTCCGCAAAGTTTCGGCCCTCGCGACTCGGAGTCCGCACCTTTGTTCTGTTTTACGGGCGTTTGCCATAAATCGGGATCACGGTCGCCGACTAAGGGCCAGAGTGCGGGGAAATCGTCCGCTAGGGAGGTTTTGTTCTATGGTTTAGCCCAGGCGATGCCAATTCGATTGTTGCATATGCATTTTATGCCACAGTCACCTTAATTCTAATGCAATTGAGCCTCGGCTTCTCACGGATGCAATGTATTATACATATAAACCTTCCTCTTGAATCACTCTATCTAATAAAAAACCCGCATCAAGATTCGTTGCGTAGTTTTAAAGATCTAAGCATATATAGGGACAGACAGACAGCGGGATGACTTTGTTTTATACTATGTAGTGAAAAGCGCAAAAAATTGATATTTTCTCCCCTGGCTCTCTGATACTTTATTGAATAAAATTTATGCGGTTTGTATTAAAGCTTTAAATGTTACATTAAATACGTTTTCAGTCCGGTAACCAATCGACCTTATTAAATGCACCATTTATTCTTTTGTCTCATGCCGATGATATTTGCAATGGGATAGATCCTCGGACGGACCTGTCCAGTCGTTTGGGCAGTGTGGCCCTACCACAGAAAAATTGTATTGTATTGATGAGCCTCCATGTAAAATGCTCTTAGACGAAGAATTATACGTGGGACGAAATCATAAAAACATTTATGGGTCGGGCATTAAATGCACCATCTATGTAGTTGAAACTTTCAAGCTTAACTATCGTTTCATCTTCTATGGGATTATGACAGTTAACATAGACACGAGCTTTTGTACAACACTACATAACGGTACAATCCAAAATCTTCCGTCTGCTTCTGAGTTACCAACCCAGTTTCGTTGTAACCTATATTCGTACTCAAATTTAAAACTTCCCCGGCCGCAAACGAGCCGATGTTGCCAAGGGTAAAAATGGACCAAGCGAAAACTCCCCGCCGTTACACGGGATATTTCAGCGTTGCCCGTCGGCCGGAGGAAAAGGGAAATAAAAGCGACCCGAGTGGCAACACCGGGGGCGGTGGAATGAAAAAAGTTCATTCATCCGGGCACCGTTGGAGTGGCTGCGTAGCCTGGTCGAGTGGCGGAATTCAGAGGCACGTAGCCCAAGTGCGTCGTAGATAGCACTTCATTTAAATTATTCATTAAATATGTACCAGTAGTCGCCCATTGGTCGTAATTCGACCATGATTAATTATACGCGGTATTGTGTGTGGTGCTTTTTATTGATTTAATGTATTTTTTATGCATATTTAAAAAAAAATATTAGCATTCTTCCCTCCTTCTCTATATGAACTATAAGTGTGGGAAATTTCATACACCTTTGTGCGCGCAATTTTCGTAAAAAGGGGTACGAAGATATGTAATTCTTCTGTACGTATGTCACTGAACTCCTTCTAACCGGCTGGACCGATTTTATTGATATTTCGTGTGTGTTTTCCGATCCATTTCAGAATGGCTTAGATTCACAATTCGGTTCACATTTTTTTTTTTATTTATAAGTTGTATTCTGATTTCAGTCATGCTTTCATGACAACTAGGGTCCTCTAGTAGATTATAAAAAGGCGAATTCTATTCATTCAGAGTATCTCCAGATAGTTTTAATACAATGTTGCTAAGTTCTTTTCATCATACATATTTTTTGCTCCGTACATTATTCGTTAATAGTCTGTATTTAACTGTTATCGACAAGAACCGGCAATTTCACAGTTGCAATTTCACACACATTTTCAATTTTTTTTTCATTTTTTTTCATTTTCACACACAATTTCACAATTTCACAGTTACCCTTATCAACTGTCATTAAATGATAAAGACTTAAAAGAAGGCATTAACGCAAGTTAGATCTATCTAGCAGTGCAAAGCCGCTGCGGGGCCGCTGCAAAGTTTAAAATAAACAGCCCCAGTTATTTATTCGTGCGTGAATAACAGCTCTGTACACCGTCTTTAAGCAAGTCCAGCACGTGAAGCGCTGGACGGGATGCAGCGCCACCCGCTAACCACTCACCGTTCCGTATTTATTCATTAAAAACGGTCGCGAGTGGAGAATCAACTCATTAATTCGGAGCCGTCTGCGGGCAGTTGAGCTTTAAGAGGCCGGCCCCGGCAAGTGTGCGGCTTGATCCGAAAATCGCTTGAAATTAAAATTAACAAAAAGGTGTCTGCGCTGTTTCTCTTTCAAATTAATATTCCTATGTGTAGTTAATCTAATTTCCTTGATATCGATATATTTGCATGCTATAAATCTAAATTAAAGAACCAAATAGTTTCAACACTAAAAAAGTTAAACTTCACTTTTAAATAGTAACGTATTTCTGAAGTTATAATGCCATAAGTTATAATGTCCAGAGCTTGACATATTTAACGTCCAATGCTAAATATTAAAAAGTTTATTTATTCTAAGTCATAAAATGTGTTGATATTTATTTAGCCACTTATTTTATTTTATTTTCTTTTCTATTTTTTATAATTTTTATATTTTTGATTATTTTTTTTAGTTAGTAACTTTATTCATTGTTATTATTTTTCGTCGTAGATTCTTTTTCCTATGTTAATTAAATTATTTTTAAGTTTTACTTTTCTATTTCACATAATTTGAACATGTTGACAGCATTATTTATGTGTTTGCTAATAGTGGAACATTCACTTATGTAATATAGTTTTTAAGCTCTTTTCTATAGTAAATGTTCAAGTGAAATGTTTTGTTTGTGATCCGAAATAAATAAAGAAAGTCATTTTTAGGATTCCGTACCCATAGGGTAAAACGGGACCCTATTAGTAAGTAATTCTGTTGGCGCTATAACAACAAAAAATATTTAAAATGGGTTCTCATTCAACAGACATGATGGTTTTGCCGTACATATTAAGTTTTGTGCTGTGAACACAATCAATAAGTACTCACAAAAAAGAAACGGCAAGGAAGATTATTTTTCGTGTGTAAGCATTTGGATTTCGCTTATATAAATGACATAAATGAAAGTTGCAATCTTTATTGATCTTATATTTACAAGATTAAATCTATCTAAAATTACATGTTATCTAATAAACCTAATCCATGCGGCATGGTGCCAAGAACGCTAGCTGCATTTTCTCGCTGAATAGTTATGCTTAACCTTTGAGCGAGAAAAGAACCAGCTCTCTTGTCACCAGCCGCGGCGTTAAGCCTAGGACATAGACTTTTAAAAAAATTTGATGTGCCGAGACCCCACGGACCTAACGTTTCAACAGCAAATGGCACAAATACATAATCTAAACATAAAGGCTCATATTTGCGCCATTTACTTCAGCTGCCATAATCATCCATTTACTTACTTCAATCACATAAATTCAATTTAATAAAAGTACCTCCTCCGTCAATGTAAGATACGCCCTTTCTTGTCAGCCATCATGCGTATAATCTTATCCTTTAAACGAGCAATTCTTGTATATATATATGGTCGCGCCAATAATGGTAGGTTTCTTCGATAGAATTTAGTGGACTGTATTGGTACATACAATAAGAAGAGCTAGGAAGGTGGGCGAGATGCACGTACTAACCTTGTGGCGGCAGCCAAGCGCTCGCGCTCCCTGGGATGCAGCCAACACCGGCGGGCACGCCACGTAGTTCGGTACACGCACTTTGCAGCGTTCAATAAGTTCCTGAATAGCCACACTCCACACTCTCGACTTATCGTAATCGCGGAAGGGCGCGACACATCAATAGGGAGCGTTACTAGGACTCAATGTCCGGGATAATTAAAATATAACGAGGAGCGCAATGTCACTCGTGCGGTTGCGGGATAACGACTTTTTTAAACTATCGCCGCCGCGCGGCGCTAGCGACGCCTTAGGCGGCAGTACGTGCAATAGGATAAATAGGGTAAGGGAAGGGTAATGGATGTATGTACCATATTCATTTATTTAATTATTAACTATGCTTAATTGGCGTAACCAATATATATATATATAATCGGAATCTCGGAAACGGCTCCAGCGATTTTCATGAAATTTAGTATGTGCGTAGATTCTGGGCCCAAAAATCGATCTAGCCAGGTTTCATTTTTAGAAAATGTCCTTTTATCCCTGTTTTCAGGGAATGAAAAATATAATTCGAATATGACGGTAAATTTCGCCGCAAGAGAAAATGTCATAATAGCACGGTCGGTAATCGGGCGGCCCCAAAACAGACGGCCGTGGTTCGCGTCATTAACAAATTTATTTTTTTACTTTTTTTTCGATTCCAGATCATTGCATTCTTTATTTTTAATTTTTTTGTCGATTTGTTATTTTATTATTTTTTTCCCTTTTTTTTAAAGTTCTTTCTTTTGTGAAAAACATCAGTTCATATTTTCTTATTATTGCATATTTCATTACACTACATACAAATTTCATACAAATTACTGATGATATATTGCATATTTCATCAGTAATTTGTATCTAAATGTAATTTCCAAAATACACGATTTACCAAAAAAACAACAAACCGAGCAAATCTCGGTCCTCCGGGTACTTGATATGTATTTCCGACATTATCTATAGTATGATGTACCTAAATATAAGAAAGCATGTGATTAACATAACTTTTACCATCGCATATTTTTATAAGCAACTTTACGAAATGAGCAGATTAAAATTCGCTAATGAATAAGGCATTGAAGAATCAGTAGATGGCCTTAAGCAAACACGGCTTGGCATTGTCTACTTACCGTAAATACGAAGAAGGAGCGTCAAATCCTCAAAATTTCCCATCCCAGCAACGGGGAGCTCGGCAAAGCTCAGCCGGGCTTAAGCAAAGCCAGGTATTAAAAACCCGATGTTAAGTCGATTCGAGATTGTTCGAGAAAAGCGAACGCCTTGTTTATCGTACAAAGCGATTTATATTTCCTACCATTTTGTTATGCACAGTACAGTTTATTAAGGTGTAGCATTTCATGAACACACTATGTAATTGAAATTTGGTTTGTTGGAGATGATAAAATACATTCAGCCTGCTATGTCATTCATAAAATACATAAAGAATAGGTAAAGTTCTCGACTAACTGTTAAAGATACACCTAATAACATCTAATCAGATAAGACTTGAAACTGTTATAGAACATTATGATTTATTAAAGTTACCTGAAATATAGGATACAGCCGACCTTGTTTTATAATGATGTATAGTTGTAACGATAACATCTTCGCTTGACAGAGCGATGTAATGATGAAGCGAGAGAGACCTAGAAAATGCTGCTCACACAATACATTTTTATCTTTTACATGTCCTTTAATAATTTTATCCGTTACCAATTATTAATATACATCAATAACAATCATTTCTTTAAGTTTTTAATCCTTCGCCATTGATTATTGTTCATCAAACACGGTCGAATATCGTTATTAGTCACATACATGAGATAAATCCATCGCCAAAGTGGATTCTAACCGATCGCACGCTTTCAAGTGCTCACGTGTTTGGCGATCCCGAAATCCATAATGCTCCCCGGGTTGGCTATTTGATTTTTGCTAAAAGCCCTCGCCTAAAAGCCGACGCTGCGGTCGGCAACTCTGCGCTTAGAGAGCGGCCATTGCAAAACCTCGTCGACTCGGTGGTACATACAGTACAGTATACGGTGTACATTACACCGGATCGATATTCGATGAGATATTAGAAGTTTTCAAGTGTTACCATCCCGTGACAGAAGAACAGACCGATGACAGTGTCCTTAATCGGTAGAGACGCAACAGCAGCATTGCCGAAAAGAAAGCTCCTCGGTCCGTACATTATTAATGATGAAGATTCAAAAACTGAATAGGATTCTAAGCTATGTTTTCTACATAGCTTAGAATCCTATTCAGTTTTTGATAAGTTGTTTAGTTCTACTTTGTTTTAGTTCTACTTGTTGATAAGTTGTTTAGTTTCAACAAACAAAACGTTAAACACTAAACTATCCCTGATATTTCCAAAAATGTCTGATTTATATTGAACAAGCACTTCGCCCGCGACCTCATCTGCGAAAATTGTGATAGCTCGGCTATTTTGCATAATATAAATATTTTTTTTTATTTGATAAAGTGGCAAACGAGCTGGCGGTTCACGTTATGTTAAGTAATAACCGCCGCCCATGGACATTTGCAACACCCGTAGGGTTGCAGATGCGTTGCCACCTTTAAATGAAATGGGCCCCGGCTACCTCACTAACCAAACGAAACGCAGAAGTGTAACACTTCTACTTTACGCCGGTCTTCTGTGAGGTCGTGGTACTTACCCGAACCGACCTGTCCATTCGTGCAACAGTGTACGCTGTTGCATGGTCCTACCACAGTTAATTTAATTTATATACCAAAACCTTCTCCGAAACACGCTGCATCTTATGTTATAAGTATTATTTCGATCGGTTCATTAGTTTTCGCAGTATAACCGAACAATGAAACCGGCTCTTCATTTATTAGTAAAGATAGATTAGAAAACGTAATGCTCACACATTCACACACGTTTTGGTTTTTTTTGATTTTTTTTTTTTTTAAGTAAATATTTTTTGTTCTTTCCCATAAAGAGTAGTAATCTAAGATTTACGTATAAGTAAATTTTTACACAATCCATCAGGATCCTTAAAAACCAAGTTATTTTTGATTCAGCAATTATTATAAAGTTCAAAATCGTGTGTCCGAAATCATGTGCATAATGCTCAAGCCTGTCTGGGAGTTTAAAAGCTTTCTAAAAGCTAAGAGCGGCCCACCCGCCTGCGGTCATACAAAGGCTGTACATTTAATTAAATAAAAATATTTCTACTTAGATATATTTTTATTGTACAGCATAGGAATCAAATTAAAATTGTGTAGTACACAATGTATGTAAGTAAACTATCTCATTTTTATATGTATAAATTGTTTATATTTTAGTTTTAAAACATCAACAAAATTAACTCTCTGACGTAGGTGCTTGCCCACATAAAAATCTTTGAGTGTTTTTTTAGCTTGTTTAGTACATAGTAGATACCAGGATGCATTTACGACCAATATACGACAACCGAAACGCATTTTCGTCTCTCGCTAGCCACCTCAGATCCCTATATTAAAATTTGCATTCCACTAAGAGTGATCTGCATTGCAAACACGCCCGAGTAATATTTGCACTAATTCTCCCAGGATGCCTTTTACATCACGACATGGTATGTAAATACGAATATTATTGCACTACGATTTCGAATCTGTATTTGGATAAATATCAGAAGAAAGTGTTGTTTATAACTTAAGATAACTTAGACCAATTTTCTTTAGCTTATTTAATATTAAAACTTACAATTTAAACTATAACTAGCCTATAGCTAACCTACGTAACTAACCTGATGGAGGCTAGATACAGAATGATTGTCTTACTAAAAAGAAATCTTAAAATTAGTCTGTTGTCTAATCGGTCTATACAGTTAATATCAGGGACAGGCAAATTAAACTGTGATTTAGGCATTAGAATATACGGAATTAAAAATAACCGTTATTAAAATCTAATTTCCATTTGAACATTACGATTATTCTTTAAGCCAATGAACCATAATTCCTAATTTAATATTAGGATTTACATACATTTTAATAACGTGAAGTCAAATTATTGAATTTGTGTACCAAGGGTTGCACAAAGTTATTCAGACAGTATAATGTATAAAGGGCAAAATTTATGTCTTTAATTTAACAGATAAAAGCAGTAACTTTAAATTAAAAAAGACATACAAAAAAGTTCACAAAAATCGGTCCAGAGTTCACTGACATACACACGTATAGAATAATATATAAGATATGTATTTATAGGGTGCGGCGCCGGAATTTCCTGTAATCGATAAGGTCTAAAGATTTCACGTCATTATTCAAAGCCATAATGGTTCTTAAACCCCTCATTAATAATTCTACGGGTGTATTCAACAATAATTTCTTTCAAACTGGACGATATTCTTAGCAAACTTCATACACATATCTCCTTACGCGGTTGTGTTAGTTCGCGACGATTCGACGTACATTATGCATGACAATTGCACTGATACGCGGGGGGTGGACATTTTAAATATATAGCTTAATTCTTTCTTATTACGAACCAGATATGTAGTGTGTTCCTGATGATTAAAAGGATTTATACCATAACAACAGCAGCTTTAATACTAATTGTTATTGTAGTAATAAACATAAATTTTTGAACAGAGACTGCAGGACTACTATCACATGGATAAACGGATTGTATGATATAAACTGGATATTTTTGAATTTGATATAAGACTATTTGTTCGCAAGATTTATTTAGTTTGTTACGGCTAAATGAAGTCAATACTCTTTGCAGCTTTATGCGAGGAGGTAGCAAGCGGTACGTAACATCAGGTAGTTTACCTGATGTTAAGTGATAAGCTCGGCCCATGGACATTTGCCACGCCCGTAAGATTACAGATGCGTTGCCACCTTTTCACAAACGAAACGCAGAAGTGTAACTCTCCCACATCTCGACGGTCTTCTGTGACATCGTGGTACTTCCCCGCATGAATCTGCCCATTAGTGTGATAGCGAATCGGTTTGTTGGCCATGTTAACTTTTAAATAGTAAAAATCCATACAGAATCGTCATCATCGTGTTAGTCTGTTTGGGTCCACTGCTGAACGCCATAAAGCACAATCACGTGGCTCAGGACTGTGCTTTATGGCGGTCTGTGCATCGAGCATCCATCGATTCCGCACACCTGCATAGGTCGTCACACCATCTAGTGGAAGATATATTATGATGGCCGAGGTTCCCACTCGAGAAGCTTCCCCATCTTTCTCCAACCTTTCAGCGAGGTTGCCACACAGGAAGAAAGGTTCTCGACCTTTCTTCCCCATCTTTCCCAAACCTTTCATCCCACAATCCTTTCGAGTGGTATAAATCCAATTTAATAAATTTGAAACGTTGATAGACATTCTCACCTTGTAAGGGATATGCACTGACAGGCTTTAGGTTGATAGCTGTAGCCATAAATACATTTTATTCCAACGCGACAGAGCTCCATTTGGCTTGGCAAGGTAAGCGGGGAAAGCACTTTCACATGCTTCTTATCTAAACGGGAAACTTTACGAGCCCGTGCCGTAATAGATTGAAGACGTGACGCGATTTAATGTATTAAGAGCAGCTAAAATATATTTCGAGACCTACTTTAAAGTTTTTTTGCTTGACCAAAAGAGAGCGTTAAGTTAAGTTACCCGTCGAGCTTTTTCTTTTTACCTTCCTGCTTACCTTCTCCGCTTTTTAGAGTCATAATGATTGCAAACATGTAACTAAACTGATTTACCTCGTGGGAGCTCCAAAAAGTTCTACAAATTATGAAAAATTAAAATGTCACGAACGTTTTAAGTGTCTTTTTTATGTTCTCAACAACAGATTACATTGTGATGAACTAGCCTAGAAACAGTTAGTTTACCAATTCTTTTGCATCCGTTGACGAAAAATGTACTTCTATATGCCCGAACCATGTCTATTTCATATTTAAAAAAAAAAAAACTTAAGATCTAGATCTGACATTAATTTCATGTCCAGATACGTTCAATTGTGGTAGGCCATAAGTGCATTCTTCTGCTTTACGTTTGGTGAGTGGGGTAGCCGGGGCCTAATTTATTAAAAAGTGGTCCATTGGGGGTGGTTATTACTTAACATCAGGTAAGCCCTCAGGACGTAATTTTTCAGAAAAAAATGTATTAAAAAAATCGCAGATTTATTGATCCAGATGAGAATACGTACAAACTCTACTATATTAAATGTTTATAGATACGTGACAATTGAATTTAATCATAAACTGACAGTGAAGTAACAACCTGTATCCCACTGCTGCACAGAAGCCAACTGTTTACAGATGGTGGGTTGTATTCCACCATGCAGACTGGCAGTCTGCACATATCATTGAAAAAAAAAAAAAAAAACCTATTTAGAAAAAATGCAGCTTTACTCGCACTCGATAATTTTCTTCATCGCTTAGAAGGTTTCAGCACTTTTAATCGCGCTTGACAATTTCATTTGATGCCCGCAGCGGGATTTGAAGTCATGTTCCTTGTGTACATTGAATTGAGAGCGACCGGATACCGAGTTAACGGCTTCTAAATAATTCTAAGCTATGACCAAATAGCAACCGAGCAACCTAAGTTCGATCCCCGGTGCCGGCACCAATGAAGTTTTTAACTTCAATTGCTGACTTATCACGTGCTCCGCGGTGAAGGAAAACATCGTGAGGAAACCTGCATATTTTCGAAATAAGAACAAAAAAAATAAATTTCGAAAATATGTGAAGTCCGCCAATCCGCAGTGGGGCCGCGTGGTGGACTATGCCCTGATACCCTCTGTATAGAGGAGGCCTTTGCCCAGCAGTGGGAAATGTATAGGCTGTTACTTTACTTTTTCTATGACCAAATATAAAGTTTCAGTTAGTAGTCTACTTAAAAATATGAATTTGTATTAGGGTCACGCTTCTGCTGTTATACGAACGGGAGGCTTGTCCAGGAAATTATTATTTTTTCGTCTCTGAGTAAGGTGACTGGGATCCATCTCTCAAAGTCAAAAGTCAAAATTTCTTTATTCAATATACGATTATTTTAAGCTCTTATGAACGTCAATAAATACCACTCTCTTTTTAAAAGTTGACAACGCTGCTGCCCTCACGTGTATAAGATGCCCATATGTAGTTATAATCACGTCAATAGTCTGCTTACTAACTTTTCACATAAAAAAGTACGGGCAATTGCAAAATTTATTAAGGTCGTTTATCATTTGACTTTACAATTTCTT